GTGTTGTGTTATGACTCTGATGATGGTTCATTTCTGATCCATATGCAGCTATGCTCGTTGCACTCGTGCGGTTTCTGTTGGTGAGTTTCCTTTTCAGTTTTCTGCCTTAATTTGCTTCAACTTTCATCTGTACTTCTTCTCTCCAAGTAGAGCATTCTTCTGTGGGCATTAATACTAGTAGCCTAGGAGCATCTGCTTTATGCCTTCTGCTATTGCATATATTTGCTTATCCTGATGATAGTCCTAGCAGCTGTAGACTTGTAGTAGTTTGGCATTAGTTTTACCTGTGTGTGGTTAGCAATACAACCAAACTGGTTCCTTGAACTCTTTGATGAATCTGTGTTGAAGTACTTTGATCTAAAACTCTAAATTAATATGCACTTGCTGAAAATGAGCCTTAGTTTATGAATGAATAATACACTGAGTAGTTGCCATTCCTCTGGTAGCTTATTGATGTATACATTGTGAGTAGTTCCCATCCCTCCATTAGTTTATTGATGAATACGCTGAGTAGCTTCCTTTCATCTGTTAGTTTATTTATGAATAACACTGAGTAGTTTTTTTATCTCTGTTAGTTTATTGATGAACACACCGAGTAGTTTCCATTCCTTTGTTCTGTGTTATCTATGTTCACATTGAAAAGAACAACACAGAAGCAATCCCCCTTGTTGTTTTACGATTTTGCATACTTGAATAAGTTAGCTGAAGTCAGTGGTTCTTATGGTATGCGTATGGCTCCTTTGGTCAGTCCTATTTCACCTTCTCTTGGATTTCTGTAGATTTATGTATGTGGCACGTTTGATTTTGCAGGGGAAATAAAAAAGGTTTGCGAGACTGACCTTGGGATCGTGTCTCAGTGTTGCCTGCCAAGGCATGCTGCCAGACCGAACAAGCAATATATGGAGAATGTTGCACTCAAAATCAATGTGAAGGTAACATAAGCACCTGGTCCATGTTTTACATTCAGTTTCGATGGAATGTTTTGATTCGTTGTCTATTTTGGTTTGTGTTAAATGTGATAATTCTGTGTCTTAACTAGGTTGGGCGGCCACCTTCCATTGAGAAGGCCTTCACTAGATTTGGTGTTCCTGCTGTAAAAAAAGTACCAACAATAATTTTTGGTGCTGATGTTACACACCCCCCACCTGGAGAGGACTCCGCATCATCTATTGCTGCGGTTAGTTCTTCCCCATGGCTAACAGTTTGTCAATTCGTTTTGTTTCTATCTGATTTTATCTTTCAAATGGAATTATCATCTTGATGCACATACCTGTTGAGTACAAATAGACTTATCTGTATCTTTTATTGGATTGATATAGGTGGTGGCATCAATGGACTGGCCAGAGATCACCAAGTACAGAGGTCTTGTCTCTGCTCAACCACACAGGCAGGAGATAATCGAAGACCTCTTCAGTGTCACCAAAGATCTGCAGAGGGGTAATGCCAATGGCGGCATGATCAGGTGAGTTTTGTGATTAGTCAGAGACGACTGCTAACAATTGCCCTGTGGATCAACTGCTAACCTGACATGATCAACTGCTAACCTGACATAATTTTCTGTATAGGGAGTTACTGATTGCCTTCCGCAGGAAGACAGGCCGGAGGCCTGAGAGGATACTCTTCTACAGGTGTGTACACAAATTCATGACACACTTTTCATACTGTTCAGTTAATGGAATTGCCTGACTGATCATTCTCATCTATAGGGATGGCGTAAGTGAAGGCCAATTCAGCCATGTTCTGCTTCATGAAATGGACGCAATCAGGAAGGTAAGTTACATGCAAATTCCTGTTTTGGTCTGCCTCCTCTGATATTATCCTTGGTTTTTGTCATTTTGATGGTTTCCAACTTCTCTGTTGCAAGGCCTGCGCCTCTTTGGATGAGGGGTATATGCCCGAAGTCAGTTTTATCCCAGTCGAGAAAAAGCACTATACTCGGCTATCACGTGAAGTGAATGAGAAGCGTGAGATAACTGATAAAAGTTCATGGGAAGGTATTTGTATTTTTATGATGATGCTAACAAATTCCTTCTACTTCTTGAAGCATACATTTAATTCATGAAACATTATAATAGCTGTAGCTTCTAGTTTTATATCAATGAGATGATTTTCTCGATACCTTTAATTCTTGAAGCATTATACGAGCCTTAGTAACAAATTTATTTAACATGTTCAGGAACTTGTGCTGGACAACTAATCAAAAAGCAACAACCACTCAACATTTTTGTGGATACGCCTATGCGCAGATATACCGTTGATATTCCTCCAACATCTAGCTGTTATTTGCTTAAAACGACTATTGAAACAAAAGTTGGAGGATGTATTGACAACTGTACACTCACTTTTGATTGCGGCCAAACTATAGAATGTAACAGAACTCTAGGATACTATGGAATCAAGAATTATTCGGTGCTAAAGCTAAATCCCAAATTGAGAGGAGGAAACCCTCCTACCCAGGAGGTTTCCAAAAAACCTAATAAGTAAGTAGTTTTTTCCCATTTACTTATAGCAACTTGTTATGATATTTTATTCAGGCCTTAAAGAAGCTAACAGTTTGTGTAAATTAATTCTTAAGGGGGGCTTCAAAAAAGTTAGGAAAGCGCCGGCATGATGAGCAATCAAGTGTTCAGGAGACCTTGTGAGTTTCTCCATTTTAATAAATAACACAATGCCAGCACACAATTTCCTGCAATTTGTTATGATCTTTTATCCAGGTCTCAAAATTTAAAAATTTATGTAAATCAATTATGCAGGAGAGTTTCAAAGAAACCGCGGAAGTGCGAACATTGTGGTCAGAAACCGTGAGTTACCTCAATTTATGTTGTCTCATTGCTTGCACTAAGTATTTACTGTACTAAACAACACAACAGCAGTGTCTAGGGAGTGGGGGCCTATAGTTTGCCCCCTCACTTAGAATAATTTTAGCCCTTGAACAGCAGCATATCCCAAAGAACCATAGCAGAGTACATCATTTCTAGGTCCACCAAAACTTCTTGCCGTGAGTTACCTCAATTTATGTTGTCTCATTGCTTGCACTAAGTATTTACTGTACTAAACAACACAACAGCAGCGTCTAGGGAGTGGGGGCCTATAGTTTGCCCCCTCACTTAGAATAATTTTAGCCCTTGAACAGCAGCATATCCCAAAGAACCATAGCAGAGTACATCATTTCTAGGTCCACCAAAACTTCTTGCTTCTCACAGTTCTCTCTCTCTCGTAAATTCGTGGCCATAACAATTCAGTTTGGTCTGTTCAGCAGTATTGCCCAACAAAATCTCAGTTGTGCTCTTTTTTTGTGTGTAAAATTCTAGATGTTTCTTCCCCACCATGTGGTGATAGTGCATTGAATATATTTTGCAGGGGGAGACCCTCAAGAATGCTATTCGCAGATCCACTTCTTGATGAGTATATTCTTAATCATGGTTCTAGTTTTATTAAAAAGAAAAGAATTCCATCTATGAAAAGGAAGGGATCCAAAATATGGAGAGGTGTTGGAAGTGCAGAGGGTATCACACTCTGTATCAGCATAACTGAGATTCTCAAAAAGGCGGCCAAAGCAAAGCGATCTTGGGACGGTAAAATTGGTCTGAGGGACTTCAGGGTTGTGGATGGCCGAGCCATATTAATCAAACCTACCAACTGCAGACTCAACTCTTTGAATTTCCGAAAAGATTGCAAATGTTTCTCTGGATTCATTAGGAAAATTCTAGGTGCAGCAGCAGCAAAATTGTTCTATATGAAGGATTTGTTGCATAAGCTTGATTGCGCATCAAAAGATGATATTTATTGGTTATTGGATTATGTGGGTGCTCATCTTGCTCTGAAAACTAACACAGAATGGGGTAACTAAATTATTATTTGTTTCTTGTTACTCAATTTGTTTGTTTAGTATAGTATTTTTGTTTCACTTGTCACTCAATTTGTTTTTGTTAATACAGGTAAAATTATTCGTCAAATCATGGTCTTTCATGACGGATTAGACAAATCAGCTCAGAAAAACTTCATGGCTGCGGTAAATTGTGTTCGGTGCCCTTCAAATTGGTCTCAAGGAAGGCTTCAAAAGCATTTCATCTTCAGACCAAATGTGGCATACAGAAAGAGAAGAAACTGGCCTGCATATGAGAAAACATCATTTGGATGTTTCAAGTGTCTGCGCAACAATTCAACTCACGGCTGCGCTGTGAGTTTTTTTGTACAGCAAATTTGTTTCCTTTTGAACAATCTCACGTTTATGATAACCATTAATTATTGAACAGTTGGCGGATTATGCGGGGCCAATGTTGTTGGGCAATTTTGTGTGTGATGTAATTCGGGAACTGTTGATGCACAAATACCCAATCCAAGAGGCCCTCGGAATATAGGTATTCATTTCTGCCATAATTTGTTTTAACTTTTTTTTTTCTGTACTTCCTCTCTCCAAGTAGAGTATTCTTTTGTGTGCATTGATCATTAGTAGACAGGATATCCGCAGGACTATCTGCATGCCTTCTGCTATTGAATTATTATGCTTGCTTATGCTGATAACAAACTTTCTTAATAAATTTGTGCTGAGGGACTTTGGTCTAAAAGTCTAAATTAGCATGCATGAACACGGAGTAGTTTCCCTTCCTGTGTCATTTACTTCCAGAAGAAGGCAACTTACTGAAATTGTTATGCAGTCAGACCACTGAAGTGCACGAGAGGGGCCTGTAGAGGTGTGCCAGCTCCCAAAGATCAAGGACAACGTCAAGGACGTCATGTTCTACTGCTGAGCTCCTGTGGAGGGAGCTGTTCCTTGTGCGACCTACCCTACCCTGAGTTGTGTGTGAGAGCCTGAGATGGCCATGACTCTGTTTTGCCGTGGAGCCTGTTGCTCATGGTTATCTTGTTCAGTTTGTAGTAGCCAGGATATCTATGACTCTGTCTTTGTTACCTTCAACTCTATCTGAGACCTATCCTATGCAAGTGGTTCAAGTTACCAAGTGGTTTTGCTAGTTGCCATATTGTTGTTCTGTGCTATTCTGATCTTTGGCTTCTTTTTAAGTTTGATCCTTTTTTGGCTTTGTGGCTGGGATCTGGTGAACTATTTTGGTTCTGGATTCAAGTCAGAGGAGCAACTTGCTTGAGCTTCTCTTGGCTTGCACTCGGGCTTGTCCAGAATCCAAAACTGTTAGCAAGTTCTAGATTCCACAGCCGAATTGGCCTTTGAACAACTTGTCTTTTATTTTACTCCTGGTTCTTTGCAGAAGAGTTCTCCATTGTCTTGTAGATAGAGATCCATGTGGAGTTTTTTAACACAAAGTTCTCAAAGAGAGGTTGCTTCCAAGGACAAGTTTTCACAAGGGGCAGGATTTTCAGTTTCTAGTACTATGAATTTCTTGGAGTTTGTGGTAAGCATGTTTGTACCCATAATGTGGTCACAAGCTTCACTACACTTCACTGTGTGTCCTTGTAAACTTGTTCCTTTTGGTAAGCTTTAGGCTGTTTGAGTTGCTGGGCTTGGACGTAGGCTTCAGATCCAAATTGGTAAGCCACGAATTGGCGTTTGCCCAATACATCTTTGTTTTTATTGCTCAGAAGAGTTTTCAGAGTTCTCACTCTTGTAGACAGAATTCCATGTCATATACACAAGTTCTCATAGTGTTGCTTCAAAGGATTAACTTCTCAAAACCATCAGACTGCACCTTTCTATATAAGTCGTTTTGGTATAGTTAGTAGGCATACAACCGATCGCAAAAGCCTAACCATGCTAGTACACAATCATGTGTCACAAGATTCACACCACACTTTACTGTGTACCGTTCTAAACTTATTCCTTTTTCGAAGCTTCAGGCTCTACTTCTGCGTCAATGGATGAATTAAATCTCTGTTTGTGCCAAAAGCAAAAAGCGTCACAACACAGATAAGATACAAAGATGACAAGCTTCACAACACAGATATGAGATATAAAGATCGCGAGGACGGCAGATGTATTTTCTCCCTTCATTTTTCTCATCCACTTAGAAGACGTATACCTGGCTAACAACCTGAAATTTGTGCGGCATATATATATGCATAGGCCATGTTTCTTCTAACAATAATTAGCTCAAACTACACACAATATATCTGTCTCTTTTGTCAGTTTCAAAAATATTCATCCCGCGTGAAGGGCATAAGATTGCATAGCATACATGTACAGATACTTTGAATTTGTTCTACACCGTTATCTCCATTCAACTCAAGGTAGCAAGTGCCACAAAAATTTGATAGGAACTATGCAATTGTTTGGTATGTTCATATTTTGGTACAGGAACTAATTTGAGCATGCCTACTCGGATGACTTCTGTGATGTGGGAGCTAGCCTGTAAGAAAACAAAGAACCAACTTCTGATAGCCCAATCAATGATCCAGTTATTTCAGCTGTGTGGGTATCTATCGCTTGTAGCGGTATCGCTTGAAGTTGAAATACAGGTGAAGAATCCCACGCTCAAATGTGCACTTGAACTTGTGTGAGTACTCCCATTCCTTGTTCACGATGCGGAAAGACTGCCAAGGAAAACCAGAGTAGGTAAGTGGATCTTCCATGGAAACTGCGGCAGCTAAACTGAAAAGGTGAGGCAAAAGACTTACAATATCCTCGTATGGAGGGCCAGCATGAAACCTTATATGGCATGTCTCCCCAGCGCTTCCATCTTTCTCTATAGTGTATATTGGTGCTTTTGATTTATCCACAAGATCAGGGTAAAATATGTTGAACTTGTAGCCTTGGACGATTTTAGGAGACGGGTTGTCATGATCATAATGAGTTTGATTGTATTTGTTCCACTCATATCCAGTATGCACACGATTGAAGTACTTTGCTTTCCTAAATGTAAGTCTTTGTAGAGATTCTACTATGGACCACATACGGATGTATATAGATGCATTTTAGAGTGTAGATTCACTCATTTTGCTCCGTACATGGTTTATATTGGAATCTCTCCAAAGACTTATATTTAGGAACGGAGGGAGTACTTGTCATGCCACCAGTACACCTGTGAGCACATTAAGCAAGTATGAGAGAATCCAGCTGAGAGCTTGAGAGTGAATGGAGGTTCACTAGCAGTAGTATGATGCTCAAACTTGCTACTCCCTCTGATGCAAATAAGTGTCGTGGTTTTAGTTCACTTATTTTGGATCAGAGGGAGTAGAATTTTTCTAGCATGTAAAAGCATGTTATCATCCAAATTGCTAAAGTAGATATCAAATATAGCTTTAGAATAACATTAATATTATCCTCAGTTCCTGACTACACAGTGAATCCAGCATATCAACATAATGTTGGAAACTGAGGTACGCATATACTGATATGCTTAGGAAGAATAATATGGTAGCACTCCTACATTCCTTGGATAATAAAGAAGATTGTACTCCCTCCGATCCATATTGTGCGATAGCCTGAAGCGTCGTACCCTGTTGGGGTGCGCGCCTTCGTGTTAATATAGGCAGGGGCTTATTCCTGGATATGCACGAAGGAAATATGCCCTAGAGGCCATAATAAAGTTATTATTTATTTCCTTATTTCATGATAAATGTTTATTATTCATGCTAGAATTGTATAAACCGGAAACTTAGTACATGTGTGAATACATGGACAAAACATAGTGTCCCTAGTATGCCTATACTTGACTAGCTCGTTAATCAAAGATGGTTATATTTCCTAACCATAGACATGTTGTCATTTGATGAACAGGATCACATCATTAGGAGAATGATGTGATGGACATGACCCATCCGTTAGCTTAGCATTATGATCGTTACAGTTTCATTGCTACTGCTCTCTTCATGACTTATACATGTTCCTCAGACTATGAGATTATGCAACTCCCGAATACCGGAGAAACACTTTGTGTGCTACCAAACGTCACAACGTAAATGGGTGATTATAAATGTGCTCTAAAGGTGTCTCCAAAGGTGTTTGTTGGGTTGGCATATATCGAGATTAGGATTTGTCACACCGTGTTTCGGAGAGGTATCTCTGGGCCCTCTCGGTAACACTCATCACTATAAGCCTTGCAAGCATTATGACTCATGAGTTAGTTGCGGGATGAAGTATTACAGAACGAGTAAAGAGATTTGCCGGTAACGAGATTGAACTAGGTATGATGATACCGACGATCGAATCTCGGGCAAGTAACATACCGTGACAAAGGAAACAACGTATGTTGTTATGCGGTTTGACCGATACAGATCTTCTAGACTATGTATGAGCCAATATGAGCATCCAGGTTCCGCTACTGGTTATTGACCGGTGATGTGTCTCGGTCATGTCTACATAGTTCTTGAACCCGTAGGGTCCGCATGCTTAACGTTCAATGGCGATTTGTATTATGAGTTATGTGATTTGATGACCGAAGTTTGTTCGGAGTCCCGGATGAGATCACGGACGTGCCGAGGAATCTCAAAATGGTCGAGACGTAAATATCAATATATTGGAAGGCTATATTCGGACATCGGAAAGGTTCCGAGTGATTCAGGTATTTTTCGGAGTACCGGAGAGTTACTGGAATTCGCGAGAGGAAGTAATGGGCCTTAATGGGCCATATGGGAAAGGAGAGAAGGGCCTCAAGGGGTGGCCGCACACACCCCCATAGGCTGGTCCGAATTGGACTAGGAGGGGGTGGCGCCCCCCTCCTTCTCCTACTAGGAATAGGAAAGAGGAGGGGAATCCTACTTGGACTAGGGAGTCCTAGTAGGATTCCCCACACCTGGCGTGCCCCCCTTGGGCCGGCCACCTCTTCCCTCCCCTCCTTTATATACGTGGCCAGGGGGCATCCCATAGACACACAAGTTGATCTTTAGCCGTGTGCGGTGCCCCCCTCCACAGTTTCCACCTCGGTCATATCGACGTAGTGCTTAGGCGAAGCCCTGCGCCGGTAACTTCATCATCACCGTCACCACGCCGTCGTGCTGACGGAACTCTCCCTTGGCCTCAGCTGGATCTAGAGTTCGCGGGACGTCACCGAACTGAACATGTGCAGGTCGCGGAGGTGCCGTGCGTTTGGTACTTGATCGGTTGGATCGCGAAGACGTTCGACTACATCAACCGCGTTACTTAACGCTTCCGCTTTCGGTCTACGAGGGTACGTGGACACACTCTCCCTCTCGTTGCTATGCATCACCTAGATAGATCTTGCGTGATCGTAGGATTTTTTTTTGAAATTACCGCGTTCCCCAACAGTGGCATCCGAGCCAGGTCTATGCGTAGATGTTATATGCATGAGTAGAACACAAAGAGTTGTGGGCGATAGTAGTCATACTGCTTACCAGCATGTCATACTTTGATTCGGCGGTATTTTTGGATGAAGCGACCCAGACCGACATTACATGACCGCGTTCATGAGACTGGTTTTACCGATGTGCTTCGCACACAGGTGGCTAGTGGGTGTCTGTTTCTCCAACTTTAGTTGAATCGAGTTTGACTACGCCCGGTCCTTGTTGAAGGTTAAAACAACACACTTGACGAAAAATCATTGTGTTTTTGATGCACAGGTAAGAACGGTTCTTGCTAGAAGCCCGTAGCAGCCACGTAAAACTTGCAACAACAAAGTAAAGGACGTCTAACTTGTTTTGCAGGGCTTGATGTGATGTGATATGGTCAAGACATGATGATATATAAATTGTTGTATGAGATGATCATGTTTTGTAAAAGTTATCGGCAACTGGTAGGAGCCACATGGTTGTCGCTTTATTGTATGAAATGCAATCGCCATATAATTGCTTTAGTTTATCACTAAGCGGTAGCGATAGTCGT